ACCCCAAACCCCTAACCCCAAACCCCAAACCCTAAACCCCAACCCCCAACCCCCAACCCCAACCCCTAACCCCTAAACTCCTCCAACATTGTGGGGACCATTTCCATGATATACCCATCATTCTGTAGGAATATGGCTCTAAATACTTGCTGATTAGATATTGTTGGAGGAGAAGGATGGATTGTTATTGTGGACGGTTTGGAAGATATAATTGAAGGGCATGTATGGCTGGGTTCCATTTGCATATTTGGTGGAATCTGGCATATCTTAACCAAAGCCTTTGCATGGGCTCAGCGTGCACTTGTATGGTCTGGAGAAGCTTACTTATCTTATAATATAGGTGCTTTATCTATTTTTGATTTTATTGGTTGTTGCTTTTTCTGGTTTAATAATACCGCTTATCCTAGTGAGTTTTACGGGCCCACTGGACCAGAAGCTTCTCAAGCTCAAACATTTACTTTTCTAGTTAGAGACCAACATCTTGGGACTAACGTAGGATCGGCTCAAGGACCGACAGGTTTAGATAAATATCTAATGCGTTCTCCCACTGGAGAAGTTATTTTTGGGGGAGAAACTATGCGTTTTTGCCAGACATTCAAAAAGGTAATAGATAACTTTGAAAGGAATAAAATTAAGAAAATAACATTAAGAATCAATCCTTGCTTGATAAAACTAGGTATGTTGAATCTTAAAAGACAACAAAAAAAGGAACATATAAGCAAAATACACATGCACACAATAAGAGGATGAAATAATGTCATACATGTAGAGATTAATAAGAGGATGAAATAATGTCATACTTGTAGATATTGAAGATCTAGCGAATGATGGAAGAAACAAAGAAAGTATAAGTATTCAATATTTCAATTAAAGGCTACAAAGAAGTAAGAACACTGAAAATCACACAACTAAGTGCAACAACAACAATACAAAACAATTATAAAAAAAGCATAATAAATACAAAACTAACCAGAAGGAAACAATGTGGGGATATGGGGCTCACAAAGCAGTGAACAATGAACAAAAGAAGAGATAGATTTTAGGGATTGGAAGAGAGAAATCTATATTAAATGTACATATAATGGCATTCCATTATCTTAAAGAGAATTTCCCCAAAAATGGTTAACAGATGGTATTCAAATAAAAATCTTATTTCCTTTTTGTCTAAAACCTTGGCACAAATCTAAGCTACGATTCAATGAAAAGAAAAAAGATCTAATAGATCCACTTTTTTTAACTCCGATAATATAAAAAATCAAAGAAATGCATAAGAAATGAATGCAATTTCATACTATGTAAGTTTAGTGAAATACATAAGATATAATTCAGATTATACCACATCACTTATTTTACTAGATCTTATGGAGTCTGCGTCGTTGTGCTAATTAGGGGATTTAGGGTTTGCAAATTTCATTCAAATCTAGCAAAGTATTTTTTCTGTTCATTGAGCAAAAAGTGAGTGCAGAGTGAAGCCAAAAAGCGGCCTGCCATTTATTTTTCCAGCAGTAAGTAATACAATTGAATTTGGCGGTGCACCGAACTGCAACTTTAGAAGTTTGGATTTTTAAAAATGAGCTATAAAATAGTTCAATTCAATTTTCATCCTAAACAGTTCAATTTTTTTCAATTTAATTAGTTCAGTTATCTGCCAGTTCAACTCAGTTAATTCTGACCATCCGTAGTTCCTTCTATCGATAAAGATAACTTCACTTTTCTAATGAGTGTAGTAGAATAAGATAATTACCTTACCTCTCTCATAGCAAACATGTCAAATTAAATGGAATCGGTTGATTTTGTTGTCACCAGTACCCTTTGCATGAGCAGGATCCGTTTTTGAAATGATGGAAGCGACTTGAATCTCTTAGTATGATCTCATGTTCAATAATCTTGGAAATGTAAGATATGGCACTGTGGCAATCACCACAGATGCGTAAATTCTTGGTTATTCGAATAGGTGCACCTGGAGGTAATGTTAGGATGCCATAGGCAAGAGCCAACTTCTCACTGTGTTCAAAAAGCAGGTCACCCTTTTCTTCATCATCTACATCATGAAGAGCAAAGCTTGTCTGAGGAACATACCCAATGACTTTAATGCGTTGAATCAAGTCTGCGAGGGTTTCATATATCAGCTGAGATTGTGAATGAGATTTGTCTCCCACAAAAAAGGTTGCAACGCCTTTCCTTCCTTGGACCCAGCTGCAACCAGGTCTTTTCTTGATTCCAGAACGTTTCATCATATATCTAATCCTAGCCACGTCTTTCCAGCGTCTAGCATTAGCATATAGGTTTGAAAGCAATGTGTATGACCCATCATTCCCGGATTCCAATTCTAACAAACGGTTTGCAGCAAATTCCCCAAGTTCTATATTTGAATGTAGCCGACAAGCACTAAGCAAGGCAACCCACACTACTGGGGTTGGTTCCATAGGCATTTCATTAATGAGCTTCATAGCTTCACCTAAACAACCAGCACGACCCCAGAGATCAACCATGCAAGCATAATGCTCTGGTCCAGGATCTACCCCAAAATCCTTGCTCATTCTATTAAAGAGGTCGATTCCATGATCCACCATTCCCGAATGACTACAAGCATAAAGCAAAACAAGGAAGGTTATGCTATCAGGCACTAGAGGCACTTCCCTCATTTCACCAAAAACCCGAAGAGCATCTTCACCGCGTCCATGCATGCCATATCCAGTCATTAAAGACGTCCAAGAGACTGCATTTCTCTGTGGCATGTTGTCAAAAACAATTTGACCGGTGTCGACATCTCCAGATTTGGAATACATGTCTATAAGACAATTAGCCACAAATAGCATAACAGAATCATAGCAATTGCGCAACACATAAGCATGAATTTGCCTCCCAAACCTCAATGCTGCTAAACGAGCACAGGCCACAAGGGTACATGATAAAGTAAAATCATTAGGCTTGATAGACTTATCCGTTTGAAACATCTCAGAGAAAAGTTGTAGGGCATGATTGGCATCACCGTGCTGGGCATACCCGCCAATCATCACAGTCCAGGTAACCACGTCCCTATCTTTTGTGGATACTGAATCAAAAATTTTTCTAGCAATTTCTGTACTTTGGCATTTAGCATACATGTCAATTAGACCATTAATCACCTTCAAATCATCATCCCCAGGATCTTGTCCATCTAAGTTAAGAATAAATTTGATGGCATAACAATGAGTTTCTTTCCCATGAAGCAATGCTCCAACAGACGCACAAGCTGAAAGCAAGGACACGAGAGTAACTACATTTGGACGAGAACCAGAGTTCAACATCTGCCTAAACACATCCAAAGCTTCACAACCTTGCCCTCTCTGCGCATACCCTGTGATAACAGCAGTCCACGTCACAACATCTAATTCGATGTTTTCCTCGCGCATCTTCTCGAACAAAGAAAGAGCATGCTCCAATCTTCCTGCTTGAGAATAGCCGGTGACCATGGCATTCCAAGAAACAACATCTTTAAACTTCATCCTCTGGAAAACCTTATTTGCTTCCTCCATCCTGCCACACTTGGCATACATATCAACCACAGCGTTCCCTACGAAAACATCATCCACCAATCCGCTTCTAATAGCAAACCCGTGAACCTGTTTGCCGCGCAACGAGGCAGCCAGGGAAGCACAAGCTGGAAGTATGTTAACTAGGCTTATAACGTCCGGGGATATCCGATGAAGTGTAGTCATTTTACTAAACAACGCGAGTGCAGTATTTGCATCGAAAGCACACATATAAGCAGACACAATAGAATTCCAAGAAACCAAGTCCTGAATGCCTTGCTGACACAAATCATCGAACATGTTGTGTGCATGATGGAGTGCACCACATTTGCCGTACATAGCAACGACGGCATTACAAACGAATACATTGGAGGCAAAGCCAGAGCGACAAACGGTAGCATGGAGCGAAGCACCGAGGGAGAGAGAAGGGAATTTGGTGCAAGCTTTGAAAACAAAAGGGAAGGTGTAGTGGTCAGGGGTCCAGCCGAGTGATTTCATGCGACGGTAGAGAGAGAACACGTCACGAGGGATTCCAATATGAAGGGCGCGCCTTATGAGTTTATTCCACCAGAAAACGGAGGATAGTGACGGCGTGAGGCGCTCCACAAGCAAAATGGCGTTCGAAGCAGAATTGCAGGCTATGTATGTGCCAATGAGGTTGGTCACCACCAACTGGACAACACCTTGAACGATGCTTTGCTGATGCAACAGTTTCGCGTGGGGTAAAGAATTGCACTGTTTCAAAGTTGTAGGAGTGATTGGGATTGTTGCGCTTGTATTACTAGTACAACACAACAGGCGGGTACTAGTGAGTAGGGACGACAATAGCTTCGAGGTTACTGGAAAGCAGTGTACAAGCATGCTAATGCTATCTTTGCTCACACCACCGCCGCGCTGGAGCCCCTAGACATCAACAATTCACAAGCACTTTTAACTTTCAAGAGATTGTGTTAGTGTCCCATTATTGGTTTAGGATTTTATAGTTTTTTTTAAGTAAAAAAAGTTTCTTCCTTTTTAAATAGTATGTTATGTCATTTAAAAATAATTTAAATAGTTCATTAAAATTTAATGATATTTATTTAAAAAATATTACAACTTAAAAATAAGTATTAAAAAAATAAAGATTTGAAAGGATTTTTGTATTAGAAGGATTTTGAAAGATTTTTTAGAAATATTTATAAATATCAAATTTATAAAATAATATCATCTAAATCCATCAAATTTTAGAGATCGTTTGAAGTAATTTTTCAAGTACTTTAAGAAATTTTTAAGTGAGCTTTTTATCTTTTTTTTATACCCTTCTCTTCTCCAATTTTTTCACTAATAATAGTATTGACCCTAAACCCTAAGTCCTAAGCCTTAAACCCTAAACCATAAACCATAAACCATAAACCCCAAACCCTAAGCCATAAGCCATAAACCCTAAACCCTAAATCCTAAACTATAAGCCATAAAGCCTAAACTATAAACCATCAACCCTCAACCCTCAACCCTCAACCCTCAACCCTCAACCCTCAACCCTCAACCCTCAACCCTAAACCATCAACCTTAAAAACCATAAAAACCCTCAACCCTAAACCATCAACCCTAAACCCTCAACCCTAAAAACCCTAAACCCTAAAACCTAAACCCTAAACCCTAAACCCTAAACCCTAAATCCTAAACTATAAGCCATAAAGCCTAAACTATAAACCATCAACCCTCAACCCTCAACCCTCAACCCTCAACCCTCTACCCTAAACCATCAACCTTAAAAACCATAAAAACCCTCAACCCTAAACCATCAACCCTAGACCCTAAACCCTAAACCCTAAACCCTAAACCCTAAATCCTAAACTATAAGCCATAAAGCCTAAACTATAAACCATCAACCCTCAACCCTCAACCCTCAACCCTCAACCCTCTACCCTAAACCATCAACCTTAAAAACCATAAAAACCCTCAACCCTAAACCATCAACCCTAGACCCTAAACCCTAAACCCTAAACCCTAAACCCTAAATCCTAAACTATAAGCCATAAAGCCTAAACTATAAACCATCAACCCTCAACCCTCAACCCTCAACCCTCAACCCTCAACCCTCTACCCTAAACCATCAACCTTAAAAACCATAAAAACCCTCAACCCTAAACCATCAACCCTAAACCCTCAACCCTAAAAACCCTAAACCCTAAAACCTAAACCCTAGACCCTAGACCCTAGACCTGAGACCCGAGACCCTAGACCCTAGACCCTAAACCCTAAGTATAGAAAACAGGATTCTTTGAAAAGACTAGTTTTAGGAGCTTTTAGGGTTTAGGGTTTAGGGTTTAACTTAAACTTTTTAATTTGGACCTTGGAGTTTGGAATTAAGAACGAGAAGTAGAAACTAAAAGCTCCTAAAACTAGTCTTTTCAAAGAATCTTGTTTTCTACAGTTTTCTTCCTTTTAAAACTAGTACATCGACAAAATTAAAATTTTCAAATTAAAAGTATAAGTTAAAAAGTGCTAGATGTAGCATCTCGGTCTCACTCCTCTTAAAATTCTCCTATTTATAAAAGCAAATTTTGTTTGAGAACAACACACAGACACAACAACATAAGTTAAACTAGTTAACAGAGAAGAAATTTGATATAGCTAGCCCCAAAAGCTTAGAAATATAAAGCTTAAAAATATCTCTAAAAAATTAAAGAATAAAATAGAATCAATCAGCTAGGCCAAACACTACCTTCCTGATAAGTCATACTGCAAACAAATGGAATCAAAAACCAATAGTCTAATGGCAATATGCCTCTAAAAATGAACTTGCAAATAGCATTGATCAGGGAATTATTTTTAATTAGAATTAGGTCCGATCACTAAGTAGCTAGTAAAGGGAAATGCCATAATTTATTTACCATTCAATATCAAAATTCCATGAAAACCCAAATTCCCTCCGTAGTCTTGTGAATCTAATGCAGCAACGTAGCTCAAATTTTGAAAACTTTACTTGTGTCACATGTAAAACCAAATAAAGTAGTTTGAAATTTTCAAAATCCTAGGCCCCATTTGGGATGGTTGCAAGTTTTTGGTTTTCAAATTTAATTTTCAAGAGAAAACATGTTTGGCAAAACTGGAGCTAAAATGGTTTTTAACTCGATTTCAAAAAACTTTTACAGTCATCTTCAAAACCATGAAGAAAGAAAAAAGATTTGTAGTTTTGGTTTAGTTTGAAAGAAAAAAAAACAAATTTTCATTACAATAACCCTTTCCATTATCACCACTACCACCGGACCTGACTGACTATGACTATTAAGCTGGCTTCGTGTTTATTTTCAAAAGATACTTACTATTTGTGCGAAACGGCTGCCTGAACTCGTGCAAGGTGGCTGCTGGATCTCGCGTAAGGACTCCAATCGCGTAAGGGCTGCGGAAGAACTCGCGCAGGAATTTCAAGTCAGTTTAGGGATTTAAGGCAATCAAGGAAATAAAAAAATATGAAGTATATGAAGTAAACTTAGGCTTTTAAATATATGAAGTAATCCCAAGAGTAACCTGGGCTTATGGCCCATACATATATCATATATTCTGGACTTCAACGCACGCATGGAATATGAATTATATTAAACTAAATTAAATATAATTAAATTATCAAACAAAAGATGAATAATTAATTTATTATGTATATACCTAATTTTATTTAAATTATATATTGAATTTTATTTTTACATATGAATTTTTTATTACTGAAAGAATTAAATTTATTATTTAAATAGAAATATATTATAAACAATATAAATAGTCTATTAAAAAAATATATTTTTTTTAAAATAATGTAATTTACTCAACCCACATACAGAAATCAATAAATGTACAAAGTAATCACATATATTTAAAAATAGGTCAAATTAAAGTTTTTACTATGATCTATTTAGTTTAAAAGCATAACTACAAGTTATTTTAAAAAAAGTTATATTACACTTAAAATATTGATCTATTTAAATAAAAAAGAATAAAAATAATAATAATATAATAATAATAATTATTACTATTATTATTACTATATTAAATTTACTATAATATATTAAAATTACTATAATATATTAAAATTATATATACTTTTATTTATCTTTTTAAATATTAAACTTGTTGATTTATATAATAAAGTGAAATTTTTGAGTTTATTGAAAGATAAATTTATATTCTATTTAGATACTTTATTATAATTTTCTTAAAAAGAAAATAAATTATTACTAATATTAAACTTTAAAATATATTATACCATATAAATAAGTTAGATTCCATCTTTATAAAACATAGCATATCTATTTTGGTATACTACCGACAATCAATTGTTGGTTTTCTATTACTCCGCGTATAAGGTATCTTTCAAAAAAAATTAGGGCGAGAGACATCCATAAGACAGGGACGCCTTTTAGCATTCTCAAAACTTCAACAAATGTGTTTCTGTAGCTTTCTCGCACCATTGGATTGGTTTCGAAGTTGGAACACACTATTTGGGCCATTTGTGGGACTAGCCCAATGTGAAGGGAAAAGAAACACAGTAGAAAATAGTTTGGATCGATGTTATAATTCTTTTTTTCTCAATCACATCTCTTCTATCAATAAAATTTAAATCTAAAAATTTATTCAAAAATAAAGTTATCATAACTTAGAAATATATATTATAAATATGGATCAAAATAAATAAGAAATTTTGAAAAATTCATATACTCTAATTAAAAAAATGCCTAAAAATCCAATCGTCAAAAAGAAATCTCTAAATATTTTTTCACATAAATAATTATTAATTGGTATTAATTATGTAGGAGTGCATATAAATATTGTTTTATTATAAATTAATGTCTTGCTCTTACAAAAAAAGAAAATGGAATTCATATTATCATCACTTTTAAGTAATTTATATCATTTTTTTAAGTTTTATTTAGCGACTGAATTGAATTCCGTCGCTAAGTTTAACTAATATTTTGCGACTGAGTTGAATTTCGTCATTAAGTTTAACTAATATTTTGCGACTGAATCTAATTTCGTCGTTATAAGGCGCATTGCTTTGTGTTTAATAACTACAGAAACAAAATCAGTCGCTAATAAAATAAAATATTTTTTAGCGACAATTAAATTTATTTGCAAAATGTTTTTCAATTTAGTTGCTAGTTCGTCGCTGGTTCCGTCACAAACTTTGTAATTATGAAACACAATCAACCAGCGACGGAAATAAGGATCGATCTTTTTAGCAACGACTTATTTTCGTCGCTAAATCCGTCGCAATTTGGAAACGGATAAATTTTGATCGCTAATTTCGGTCAGTATTTTACATTTTTCTTGTAATGCATTGATAGATTTTATTAAAATTAAAATTTTATTTTAATTGTCACATTTGAAAAGTGAAAATTGTACTTTCATAACAATAACATGTCTATTGTCTAAATGTGATATAAAATAAAATGTTGCAAAAAAATATTTTTTAAATAAATTACTTTTATATGGGTAATTTAATAAAAAAATATTTCATTATTTAAAAAAAAATATATAATAAAAAATAAATCTCTTTATAAATATATGGGTAATTAAATTATTTTTATAACATGTAAACATGAATATAAATTCTTTAAACTATAATACAGTTTTAATTATATTATCTATTAACAATGTAATTTTTCATTATTATTGACATAAAAAATTTTACTTATATATAATTTTCAATAGCATTTATTAACTAAATTAACTATTCAATAAATTTATATAACTTTCTTTTCAATTTTTGTTAGGAACTTTAATTTTTTATAGTAATTTTGAATATTTTGAACAAACAATTTATTTTAAAATAGTTTCTCATTTTTTAAAGTTAATTATGCCTTTCTACTTTTTTTATAAATTAATTTGTTTTTTTATTTATCATTTTCTTTTTATTTAAAATATTCAACTTCATAATTATATATATAATACTAACAAATTAAATATATTAAATTTTTTAAAATATTTTTTACTCCATACTTACCTATTGAAACATTAAATCTCACCTAAATTACAAAAAATAATTCAAAATAATTTTTATCTAATTTCAATCACCTTGCAACAGACCAAGCATGAAATATTTAGTAATAGATGAGAAAAAGAAAGGAGATAGAAGTAGAAAAGTGAAAATTAAATTATTTAGTTGAAAAGAAATAGGGGATAAATGTTTAATAAGTTAGAAAAAAATAAGTGAGAAATAAATTATATAAAAAAAACAAGCTAAAAAATTTTTATTTAACAATTAGATCTTTCATGCTTAATGTAAGTCATGAGTTATTGAACCTTTAATTTAACAATTGGATATTTTAAGTTCAATATACGTCATGAGTTATTGAAAAGAGTAAATATATTAAAAGTTACTCTTTAAATAACTAAATTCTTCCTCAATATGACAATATATATACTAGATTGGTAACTTGTGTGATGCACAAACATATTTTTTAATCAACTCAAAATATTATTAATATATCATTAACTTATAATGTGTTGTTCTTTCATTACAAAAGAAAAAAGAAAAACATTTGTGTTTTGACCCACTGACTATAAAGCCTAATGTTAACAAAAAATAGATACTAGAAGAGGTTGAATAATGTCAATAAAAACCATAACACTTTTTAAACCAATGAAGTAGTAATGTGATTGTAAGAATATAGGCGAAGAGACAAGTAAGAAGGACATAGTATTTTTATACTAGTTCGTTTTAACCACTAATATTACCTCCAAATCTTGATCAACCCAATCAAGTTTCAATATCTTTTACAAAGATATAAATATTTTTTGACAAGTCATTTCAAATTCAACCTAAGTGTTTTTTGATTTGCTTCTTCAAATAATTACCCAAGTATTATGTTAACACAAAGACTTCCTAAGACTTAAACATTTAAGTATTATTTTACAATCGAGTCTCTTTAGACTCAAAACAATAACACTAAGTTGACAATGTGTTTCATCTTATAATTAAGATGGGATATAACCTATTAAGTATAATGTCTTTTTATAGAAAGATTAAGCGTATTTTGATTATGAATATCTATCCCTCATCTTTTTAGAACTTTAAGCTTCTTCATATGTATGTTTCACAAAGATAACCGTTGCGAATCTTTGAACATCTCTCACAAACTTTCTTCATTTGTTTTCATCTTCATTCCCTAAAGAGAAAAGTGTCTATTAGTACATTACATGCTTATATTAAAGGTGTTTCTTCAAATTGTCACTTCTTATCTAATTAACAAAGCTACTTATCGCCTTTTAGTTATCAAAATAGAATAATCATGCCTGTGTTAGTTTGAAGCAACCTTTTCTACGTTTTTTTCCATATTTTACAAGATATGTTAGTCTTTTTTTCTAACACAAAGCAAGCATTTAGTTCCTTTAACAAATTGTGAGTATCAAGGAAGCTTTTTCCATTTGGTTTGTTAAGAAAACATCCAGACAAAGATGATTTTGTTATCAAGCATTATAAATAATATAAATACATCTATGTTTAATGTTTTAATAACTAATTGTTTAAAAAAATTCATAAATGAATAATTTTGCCTTAAAAGGTTTTTCATGAAAGACGATTTGTGTATCAAGACTTTGATTTCTTTAAACAAAATTTTGCTAGACAAAATGAAAAACTTTACTTAAAATATTTTTGCATCAAAGCTTAAAATGAAAGTTTTTTTATTAGAGCCAAGGGCACATTCATATTAAATTTAGAATCTATATCAGATTAACGTTATCCAAAAAAGAATATCAAAAGATATGTGTAAATGACATACAGGTATCATAACATTTGTATGAATTATGCATTAGATGAATATTACTCTTCAAGTTAATTCAAATTAAATTATGAATAACAAATGGGGTGGCTAAGTTTCAACTCATTGAATCAACTCTTTTCTGCACAAGCCAAAAATGTAAAAAGCACAAAGAAAAATGGCATGGCATACGTTAAAAAAGGTAAGGTCAAATGGCAAGGCATATTGAACATACAAATAACTGTCGTATTTAAGTATTGTCAAATAATGACCAGATAAGAGTCAACTACAACCATACAATGATTCTTCTTTCCCCGGCAGCAAATTTTTATAGGCTCCAAACTGTAGTTAGGAATTCAATCCGCGTGAATTCTTCCAATCCAATCCACATGTTATCTTTTCTTTTCTTTTGTCGTACCTTTACCTCGGCTGATTAAGGGAAAAGATTCAATACAATTATCAAGATAGTTGAAATGCTGCTTTCATCAGTTAGACATTGTGTAGAGTAGACATTACACATAATTGTCATGAGGACTGCATTCCCTTCCATGGAATCTCTAAACTGTTTACAAAAGAAATGATCAAAAGAATCAAACCCACCAAAGAAGTGGATCTATCTGAACGCAGAGAGCCCCATCAACAATGCTACCTCCGCAACACCTTCCATATTTCCTTCATATATACTACAAATGACCATAAGGCGAGCCCTGCTGAAATGTAAAGCAAGACAACACCAGATCCTACCAAAATGGCAGGTCCTCCATGACTGAAAAAGAATCCAACCACATGTCAAATGGGGACAGGAAAAAGCTTTTCTTTTCGTAACAAACAATAGACCTTCCTCAAAAAGCAAAGAAAATAATACCCGCAGTCCCGAGTAGCAAGGAGAATGATTAATGCCGCCATCTGTGTGGCTGTTTTCCACTTCCCCAAATTATTAACTGCAACAGCCTATTAATTTTTGTTTAATTAAATAAGCTCATAACTTCGAAAATAGAGTAAGCAATTGATTCAACTGAACAAGAGGTAAACAAACCTCTAGAAGCTTGCTACCTTGGGAAGCAGCCCATTCCCTGAGTGCTGACATGGTTATCTATTTGCATGTTACAAGAAGAAATTGCAAGACATTTGTTCTCAATACACTAAGTGAGTATAGCAGATAAAGTATGACGAATTGAAAGGCAAAGGAAGAAGAAAAGAAAGAACTAAATAAAATTATAATCTCAGAGAAACAAGTAGGCCTGAATACATACAAGCTAACATGCACAAACACAACTAATCTAGAATCATTAACCACCCCGCCATCTAGGATAAGCAACATACTCCAAGAAGAGAGAGTGAAATGTGGACTATTCATGATTATGCATCTTAATTTGTCCCGAACCGGGTATACAGTAATGGTCTATATATCAGTTGCAATTCTAGACCCAAAACAAAGACACAGCCATACTAACTTTACTTGTAAGGGGAAAGTACATGTACAACACACGGTCACACACTAGTTCGTATTTACTGTTATTCTCACATTGAATAATGGATTTGAAAGTCAGCCACAGCTTTTGTTGTTTTTGGATAATGGTTTACATCAGCAACACAAATATTTAAGATATTTTACACATACAGCAACAAACTGGTGCACATTATCATAACATCATTGATTCTGTACTCCAGAGCTGCAGGCAGTCTCGATGGTCATACCGTGAAAGTTGGATGACAACAACCATAAGAGAGCCCAAATTCACACACTTGCGGTTGTCCTATTGATATATAAAACAATGGATTTGCATGATTTTCATGAAGACAGACAATTAAATCAAACCTATGCTTTAGGGGATTCTAATGTGAAAATGGCCATTAATAATTCAGATTTCATGACAACTAGTAGAACCTGGTTTTAAGCTAATTTAATAACACAGAATCACACTATACAAACTAAACACGATAGAAAAAGTTAAGGAGATATAAAAGAATTAAGATGCATAAGTTCCATTGGTTGCCAGGTATCAGTGAATAATCTTTCAAGAAATAAAAGCCTTCATATTGCAGATACATTACCTCTCTACCAATAATGGTGATTGAAGGAATAATCAATAGCCATGGTAGTTGTCCAAACACAGCAACTTCCAAAGGTCTAGTACATAATAAGACCAATGTGGCAGAAACCATAAGCTGCATTAAGTTTCAGCAGAAATTAAATTCACAAATTGTTGGGAGAAACTTGTAGCTAAAAGAAAATTACCTTGTCAGCTACAGGATCTAAAAATGCACCAAATGTAGATTTCATTTTCAACTGCATTGCAAGTATATAAGAGAAAAATCTTTAATAGATGAGTTAAGTTGAAGACAGAAAATGGTGCCTACGTTTACCAAAAGAGAAGAGAAAGAGTATGAGAAAATTAAGAGTAGGTACCTTACGAGCAATATAGCCATCGAGCCAATCGGTAACAGCTGCAACGGTGAAGATACTTGTAGTAACGACTGTTCCTCGCCAACCATCCATGTAGAAGGCTAAGCATTTCAGAGAAAACATTTGATCACGTCAAATCAGTGCGCGTGATAGAATTGGATGACGGTGAAATTTGAGAACAAATTACGAAGAAACAATTTGAATTGCATTCCCACATATATATTATTAGAAAAGTAAAATAGAAAACGAGGAAACATACTGGCAACAAGAAGAGGTACAGCGGCAACACGGCCAAGAGTTAAAATGGTAGGCAAAGTAAGGAGTTTGGAATTGGCACTGGCAGGCATTGAAGTACGGTCATTCTTAGAGATTGACAATTCACGGACATTCATCTCGGCAACCATATTTTCCTGTGATGCCGACCCACACCCACAACCCAACCAACCCCGATTTCACTCCTACAATTACAGAGCACAGGGCGCTGGTGAAAACGCAGGTGCTATAGCCCCCCAAAAACAAACCCTTGTGATTTCCTTTTGATAAATAATAATAACTACCTAAGGATGTTTGTTCATCACTTGTCGTATCTCACTGTTCGGTTATTTTTTAATAGGTTTTTTTTAGTCACCATATGTATTTTTATTTTCAGTAAATTATAATATTACGCGGTGCTTTATTTTTTTTTTTAAATTAATATTTATTTTATTGACAAATTTTAATATATAATATTTATTTATTTTTTTTAAAAAATCTCATTATAATATTGTTAATTTCGTTTACAGAAAAAGTTATACCTAAATATTTTTTTTACAATAAATCCTTTTCACATATGTAAATATTATGTTACTTTCCTTTTTTATGTTAAAATACATATTTATCTCTTTTAATAAAAAACAAATATATTATATTTTAACAATTTATCTATCAACATATTGAAAAATGAATTTATTTCTTGAATTTCATACTTAATTATTATTTTAAAAATTATTATAAATTTTTTAAAATAAATTATATATTTAAATTAAATATTTTTAATTATTATTTTGACACATTTTTTAAAAGTTATCAAAATAAAATAAATAAATATATAAAGTGTAATAAAAAAATTAATATTAGCTTTTATTTAATCTTAATGTAATATTTTAATAAATTATTATTTGCATTATATAGTGTTAATTATAGATTGAAGGTAACGCATCAGTACTAAGGTATTAATATCAAAATAAATCGATATTTTCTATAAAGTATTATTTATAATATTTATTAAATGTTATGTTGAAATTCCTCACCGGATTATCCGGGATTAAAGTAAATATTGATGGTAGCTGGTTGGAGGGTCAGAATAAGATGGGGTTTAGAGGGGTTATTCGAGATAATGTGGGGAGATGGTAGGGTAGTTTTGTCAGTTCAAAGATAGGAGGTGATCCTTTGCGAGCTAAACTTTTGGCTATAAAGGAAGGATTATCTTTTTGCTGGAATTTTAGTTACAAACAAGTGGTGTGCGAGTTAGATTGTATTGGTGCAATATCTGTGAATGAACGCGCTATTTGGGAGAGGAATCTTGTTCATAAACATAGAGATATAATCAATAATATCAAAGATTTGGTGGAGTGAGATTAGCGAGTTATATTTACTGGGATCCCGAGAGACATTAATCAAGTAGCTCATGTTCTTGCAAGTTGGGGAGGTAGACTAGGGACTCAACATGTAACATGGAGGAGTCCTCCAAATTTTGTGTTTCAAGTGTATGGAGAGGATCTTTGTTCCCTACA